GGGGGGAGAAAGACAGGATTAAGGCTTAACACTTCCATCAACAATGGAAGTGTTAAGTAACAATGGCGGTGTTAGGTAACAATGGAAGTGCTAAGTAACAATGGAAGTGTTAAGTAACAATGGAAGTTTTAAGTAACAATAAAAGTTTTAAGTAACAATGGAAGTGTCAACAATGGAAATCTTACGTAACAATGGAATTGTTAAGAGAAAGCGACGTGCTAAGACGCAGATCCAGTTTTTTTCGTTTTTGCGGGAAATCGAACATATTTTTAGATCCATCTAAAAATTCTCTAATTAGTCTGGAAAGAAGGGGATCCAATTTTTGCATTCTGTGAAAACGGGTAAGGTTGACTGTAACGTAATAATCTTTATCTTAGTTATCGTTACTTTTGCCCAAGCAACGCCGGGCCCACCTGCTAGTACGCTTATATTTTATTCATTCGTGATAAAAACTTCTATATGCCTGTCTGCTTATCTTTGCTTCTAATGCTTTAAATATTTTTGTACTTGTTTCTGTTATCTGCACATAAAACTGACACACATTTCCTACTCTTGAATGTATACCTGGATTTCCAGAGCATTTTTCAAACTGTTTATGACAGTATTTATTAATTCTCAAGCATATTTAAAGAGATTTTTGTGTTAATCTTCAACAACTGCAAATGGCTGTTACTACGTTAGATTTGGACCAGACACACTCATAACACACATTTAAAAGTCACGTGACTTCCGGATCGTAAGTTCGTGATTTTCGGACCTCTGATCCTAAGCTGGTCTCGATTTTCACGAGATTAAGAAAGGACAGATGGTCAGACGGACGACAGTGGGCATGTATAGGTCTTCAATTTGAAAATTGCAACACAATAATTATATAATAAAGTAATATTTTAATAATTTGAAAGCATTTACTGTAAAATTACTAAAATAATTTATTAAAAAAAAACACATTTAACACACGAAACGAGTGAGGAGGCAATTTGATGAACGTTTACAAACTTTAAAACACGAAAATAGATACTAAAAACGTCTATTTATAACTAAACGTTTGGTTATAATTTTAAGGGAAAATATAAATTATAATTAATGTAAAATTTACAAAAATAGAAATGTAAAATTTTGCATAATTTGCACATCTTTCGTATAAGAGCATATTGCTCTTGTGCAATATTTTGTAATGCTGACGTATGCATTCAGGTGTCACGGTTTATTTGTCCAGTAAAAACTTGGATCGTGTCCCAAAATATTCATAGATCCTGAAATAGTATTTACTTTAGTGTTACAACATCACTTTTGAAAATGTCATTTATTGTTAAGTCGTGCTTTTATGCGGTGTTATCGAACTGTAATTTAAACTGTGTACCTTGAAGATAGAATTAAATGCGGTAAAAAACATAAAAATTCGTAAAATATGCAAAATTAATCACAGAATGGTGATTAGAATTAAAATTTCAAAAACTAGACGTCGTGAATTATATAAAATTTTGTAAAATTAAGGCATTGTAAAGCAACGATTATAGCTAATTATGTGTTTCTATACTTGTATGTTAATATACACTCGACGATAAAATTATGGAAACTTCAAGTTTATCTGTGATCACAAGTAGTCAAAATTATTACCGTTTTCACAAAATGTATTCGTAACACTTAAAACTGCATTGTTTAGTCTTTGTTTTAATAATAAAATTGATTTTATGAGCAAAACGAAATCATGAAAACTTAAAAAAATTTCAAAAGGCAATTTAATACTTTGTCCAGATTCAAGTGCCACCACACACCGTAGTATGGTTTCAATTAAAGATTGCACTCTTCTTTTGTAATGCTTAGCCAGAATTCTTCCACAGCAGTGTTCAATGATTCAGCATTTTATGGTTTTGCCTCTGTTACTTTTTCCTTAGCTCACTAATGGCCATGCGGTTCCGTTCCGTGAACACTGACTATAGTGTGGTCCCCGCCATGACGGGCTGGCCACGTGGAGTTTTTCGGGTTTTCTTCACGTCTGTAACGCCTGAATAGAGGCCTATTATCCTTAAAAAGACCACAAGGAAGACATCGCCCAAGCGTTGCGTTGCCGTAATTTAACCAAACAAACAAACACTTTTTCCTTCATTTTATCCCCTATATTTTCTATAGTTATTCATATCAGGACTATTTCTTAACCAGTCTAATAGTTGAATTGACTGTTCTTCAAACCAATCTTTGGTTGAAGTAGTTAAATGATGTGATACTCCATCTCGCTGATAAATAAAGTTTAAAGTTTTTCTTCATCTTCCATTCCCGCAATAAAACCGAGCAGTGGGAATTAAATGATCTAATATTTTAACGTAGCCAGTTGAATTCAAATTGTTGAGTTAAACAAAAAGCTTCCAACACTTAGCTCGGATTATTCCATAAACCATAATAATAACTGGAAACTTCTAATTTACATAAGCTGCATGATTCTTTTCATGTGAATGGTAAATAACTCGTAGTCAAAATTAAATAATGAAAAAAGACACTCGTCACTAAACAAAACCGTTCTTTATTTTTCTGTTGTCCAAGTTTTGCGTTTATCTGCCCAGGTTCGTGCTTAGTTAAGAGTGGTTTCTTCTCTGCTACTCTTGAAACAATGCCTACTTTTTTTTTCTTTACAAATGCCGAATAGTGGTTTTAGATGACACGTCTTTTCCAGTTCAACTGTTTGATAGAATCTCTGTTATTGGCTCTTACAAGACCTCAAATATGGTTTATCTTCATTAAATAATCGTAATCTTTTTTCTTCCTCGACTAGGTTTGCTTGATGGGTTCCATTTTCATTGATTTTTTAAAAAATTATTTTACTTACACACTATTTGTTAAGCTAAAAATTAGTACATTTTTTTCTTGTTTCTTATACCCGTTTTTCATTTCCTTTACTGGTGTTTTCTGTTATCATTTCTTAACAATTAATTCTCGTTGATAGAGGTTTTGAAGGTGACATTTTCTGACAGTTTTCCGTCCCAGTAAACATGCAAATGTTTATACATGATACTATTTTATAAGGGCATTCTGTTATCGTTGATTTACACCCTGAATTTTTAATTTAAAAATAAATTTTCCATATTTTTCTGTCGTAATTATTAATTAATTTCGTATAATTTTGTCTTACATACAGAAAATTTTGGAGAATAAAATCAATTCTATTATTAAAACAAAGGCAAACAATGTCATCTTAAGTGTTATAAATATTTTAAGTGCGTGAAAAACCTGTATACACTGCTTAGCTTTATTGTAAATTACACATTATAAATTATAATACGTTCATTCCGTATATCTATGCTAGAAATGTATATATCATAGTTCTGTATATACTCATAAGTGCATAAAACTAATATAATGCTGATACACTTGATGTTGCTATACAGTTTATACAGTTGCATCAAGCATTGTGTGGGCTTCACAATATCAGAAAACACATTATTTTCTGTATAATTTAGTGTAAAAGCTCATTTTAATTAGTCCAAATAATTAGAATTATAACATTTTTAATAAAATACAGAAAAACAGATGAGTAACTGCGTATAATGCGCACCAGGAAACATTTAATTTTGCTTAATATTTGTAGCGTTTTCTTTATAATTTTGTGCAGAAATGATTTCTTTTAGAATTGTAGAATTGTTATTACTTTTTTTACTTTTAAAAGCGCAATTAGTTTGTTAGTAACAACTTTAATTTATGATACTTTACCTGGTAAAGCTCCACATGATTTAAATACAGGAGCAAGAAGAAGTGGGTTAACAGTACGTGTTCCTGCCGTATGAAAATTGTGAAAGAAGTATGAACATGCGCAAATGTCTTTGGCATCACGCTAGAAACATGCTTTCATATGTGTTTAGTGTGGTTATTTTTGATTTGGCATCGATACTTAACCTCACGAGAATATCTCTAATCGATTTTTTTTAAACTCCATAAATCAATATAAATAATCAGTTAATTGCGTAACTTACCTCTTAACTTCCAAAACTAGTTCGTTATTTGCTGCGTCGACAATATTCATGGCTTGATCGTGGGTGAGTTTATCGCAAGGATGGCCATTGATGCTGACGATCACGTCTCCTTCGTATAAATTGTTGTGTGCTTTGCTCTTCCTACGTATCTAGAATATATGAATGCTTGATTAGAAGGAGATTTTTTACTTTCCTTCTTGACAAAATAGAAATATTTTCATTCAAAACGGTACAGGCCACCCTAACGCGTCTATATCGTAGCAATAGTCATATTAGTGCGATACGCGATGCGAGACGAGCGACTTCGATTTACTGAACGAATACTGAAAGGATTAATTAGGATAAAAATGCTGAAATATATAATTTTGAGCATAATTTCGTTCGCTGGTGTATAATAGTTAATAAAGCTTAGAGTTTCTTCGAGTTTAATGTGAAGTCGCGACACTCTTCGTCGCGAAAAGAATCGACGACGTGACAAATCGTGTAATAACAGTAACGATGCATGAAATGGTGATATTGTAATAAAGATAGAATAAATAAAAGAGAGCGAGTATACAGCGGTAATTAAGTGACGAAAGAAATAGGCAGCATACTATTAAAAAAAATCGCCGAAAGTATAAAGTCGCGAAATTCAAGATGGCGAAAGATGACGATTTAAATTGCGTGCGTAGGCTTTAACATATGTATTTCAAGGAAAAAAAGTGAAACGATGCCAAAACTAACTAATTTTTATAGAAAAATCATTCAAAATCAAATAAAAATCATATTAAAATAACAGAAAATTAACAACGTTTAAAACGCTTGTTAAAAAATACACAATGAAAATAAAGCACGAGTAACAATTTTACACTAAAAGTTTTAAAATATTTTAATTTTTCTAAATAAATTAAATGGAAAAGTAAAACACTTATCAATGATACAGAGCAGAGATAAAAGTTTAACGTTAATTAATTCCTCTAGAGCTACTACAGTATCGTGTTTCAATCTGCAATCACTCATCTCAATGGAAGTAACTATAAACAAAACGTACTTCTAGCAAATATTTTCGAGTAGAAGGATTGATATACAGAATTTTCAATTAAATTATTTAATATTTTGAATATTTCTTTACTTTTTGACAGAATTTAATGTAGAAACTCATAAATTTGACAGGAAGAATGAGCTCTCACTGGTAGTGCTTATGAAATTTGAGTTAGATTGACACTGATTTATGTTTTATTCTTTATTTTTAATGCTTATTTGTAAGTATTTCAATGTATTTTATATAAAAATATGCTTTTATCTTCTGATATTATATTTTTTCTAGTCTTGAAGAGTTTTTATTATAAATTATCAACAGTTTTGTCCACTTTTCTTCAATTTAACATATAATTCATTTAATTTTTGCTATTCAGTGTCGGATTTTGACCTATATTTTCTGTTTATTAATAATTTTTGGCTATTTTTCCTATCTAAAGCAATATTTTGGCTCATTGCAAATAATTGAAGTAGCATTTTGATAAAATTTCTTTAAAATTCTCCTATAAAACTGGACAGTTTATATATTACAATATCTTATGAATTATAAATTATAAATTATTCAACAAATTATCCACCAATTCGTTGTTCCTAAACTGAAAAAATATGCAGAAATTTTGCTTTAATTCTAGATATAAAGCTGTAGCAGTATTCATTTTAAATATATATTTTTAACCCTTTTAAACATTTAATTCAAAAATTTATAGTGATTTTAATCAAAGATTTGTAAGTACCTTCAGTTAAAATTGTACTAATTTACCTTCATTATAGAATTATCACCTACTTATAAGATTTACATAAAAGAAGTTTGCTTTTAATCTTAAAAAAAGAACATTTTTAGATAATTATCTATCATTTTAATAGCCTAATTTCAGGAAGAAAAATCTGGTTATTCTAGAATTCCAACATTCAAAGAGTTGAAAGTTTAATGAATGATTTTGTTAAGATATTTTAACAGTAATGAAATGTTAAAAATATCTGCATACAGTTTGTACAACGTTGCATACAGCGTTACATAATGGCATAGCGACCTAAAAACAATTAAAGATTCTTAAAATAAGAGCGTATCATTCATATGACATCATCGCGAAACAAATCTTTCTCTCTATACCTGATGCACGAAGAGAGGCCATAATTAGAACAACCCAGACTACAAGACATAAACAAGTAAAAGGTAAAAAAAAATTACAGAAAAAAAGACAGCCAGATTAATCGAGAATAACGTAAATTTCTCGAATCTGGAACAAATCAGTCTTGTAACGAAGAAACTGATTTGTTCTAGATTCAACGAAATTGATTTATTCTAGATTCAAAAGTGAAATCGATTTGTTATGGATTTAATAAAACTGATTTATTGTAGAGTAAAAAATAAATAAATAAACCAATTTCTTAGCGAGGAAACTGATTTGTTCTAGTTTTAAAAGAATAAATTAATATCATTATGGAGAGACTGATTGAGTTTTTAAATCTAAAATTAATTACGTCTTTAAGAAACTCTACTTGGCACTTAAGAAGTTAATTAACGGCGTGTGATATTAAATTAGTACATAAAGGCCACTGTCAAGGTTTAGCTATAAATGATGTAATTCTTTGTCATCACAGACGTCCCTTTGTCATTGAGCAAAACCTGCTTTGAGTCATACGAGGAGTCATTCGATATTCTGTTTTGAAGACGTTGACATGTTGACGGAAGGCTAAAATTCGACAGATTCAAGCTTTCCACCTACCTAAATCATTAGCGTGTGGGTGGGGTGTTTGATTTCCTCTCTAACTATCCGCGAAAAAATGCGATTGGCGAATATTTAAAGAAGTATACCATTCAAAAAGCATTCCGATCTTCCCACATAAGAGATTCTACTATAAAATAATAATATTTCGAGACGTTAGAACTAGATAAAGGTCGTCGAACTATATAGATATTTTAAAATTTAACCTACCTTTGCTACGGTTAGAGGATGCCCCGTCTTGACTCCACCCTGCAATCTGAATCCCCACGGACATCCTCCACTTAAACGTATTGTGTGCTTGCCTCCGGTCATACTTATCCTAATCTTCAACTTAACACCAGATGCAACTCAACGTAATACAGTTTTTACAGAGTATTTTAAGGAGTTGACGAAAGGGTCTTTGGGTGGTGAGGTCCAGAAACGGCTCTCCTGACGTTAGGAAGTGCAGGAGCGTATGCAAGAGACGTGAAGTTGCCCACACAGTAACTATATTTAAACATACAGCAACACAGTTTTTGTTTATGATAAGTTTAGGAAACGATCTGATGTCGATTCGAAACGGTCAGTTAAAGGCGTTATATTTCGAGATTTGAAGGAATTCTACATATTTGAGACTAACTTCACGAAGTTGCCAAACTCCTGACATCCTCTCGACGGTGATGACGTAACTGGGAGATAAAATAAGATTTTTCTTATGCTTAATAATGAATTACTTTATTCTAAGGGAAGCAGCCAACTAGAAAGTGTGCTTTAATTAAAAAATTATTAATTGGAAGTTATTTTAGTATGTTTATATTAAATTCGGCTCTCGTAAGAGTCTAATTGATAGGCTAGTTCTGCGATAAAAATCATTTATTACTTATAATAAATGATTTTGGCGAGTGACGCTTGAAAAAAAAATGAAATATTTATGCTGTAAATTTAAAATTGTTCTAGAATTTTTAGTTAATATGTGTCAAGAACAAGAATTTCCTTTTATTTTTGTGCATATTTAACTCTTACAAGTTAGACAGAGTTATAAATGTTTCCACCTCCTATCTAAAAGTATTTATTATTTTCATAAACTATCTCCTCTCAGATTTGCATCTTTTAATATTTAGATTATAAAATTTACTGCAAAATTAAATTTAATTGCGGAAAGTAAAAATCTGTTAAACGTGTAAGCTGTAACATTTTATTAAATAAATTAATGTAAAATGTGAAATAATTCTTAAATGATTTTATAATTAAAATCAATAAATTTCTTAAATATTTTCTTAATATCCTTAAAATGAATCCTTATCCTTAAAATATTTAATCTTTAAGTACTTTTATAATTAAAATCACAAAAACCCTTAAAGTTATATGAACTTTTATTAATTGTAATTATAAAAAATATTTTATTTTGATTTAAATTTTTTTAATGTTTGAATTTTCTTAATCATTGTCAGGATTTTAATTTCATAAAACTAATATTTTATTTTAAAAATAATATTGATTATGTAAATTGTAAAAAAATTATTTTATTTATTTTTAAAAAAATAAATATTTGTTAATCAGCATTTTCAAAATTTTAAATTTTAACTGTTTGTTTATTGCTATTTTAAAAACTAAATTTAAAAAAGTACATTTAAATTTTATAGGTTTTTATATTTTTTTAAATATAAATAACCATTTTAATTTTCTCAGTTTCATTTATTGACTTTTTTAAAAAAATATATATCTGTAAATTTCAATTGTTATTTCTTTTCTTTTATTAAAAAATGCAAATGAAATTTACAATTAAAATTTCGATTGTTGTCAGTTACAAAGAAAAATTATGTAAATTTCGCTTGCGTTTTTAAAAAATGAAATAAACAAATAATTATTGAAACTTACAAATTAATTTTGTAAAAAAGGCAAAAAATAATAGAATAATTGTTTCAATTTCAATCTTTGCATTTTTTTTTTGAAAACGACAAATTTTTAATAAAAAATAAAAATACAAAAAAATTAATTTTTAAAAAATTAACAATTAAAATTAATAGTTTTTATAAATTGTTAGGAAAAAATTTAATTATTGGAAATAACTCATTAAACATTTTAAAAAATTATGTAATGAATTAGTTTTTATTATTATTTTATTTTAGAAAATAATAAATAAACTTTTCTACTAGGTTAAAATTAAATTTATTCTATTTAAAATTATTTTTAAAAAGTAATACAGTATATATATATTTACAATATTTAATCTTAAACTTGTAAAGATAATTAATTTTTATCAACTGTTTTTTAGCCTGTTAAAAGTTATGAAAATATTTTAAAATATAGATTATAAATTTAATTTTTTTTTCTAAAAATCTTAATTTTAGATTAGATAAAAATTATAAAAATTTCAATTTCTATAGTATTTTTTAAAATTATTCCATTTATTAACCATTTTATATTCAAAATTATACGTTTTTTTGAAGTTTAAAAAATACAATTTATATAAAAATATAAACCGATCACTTTTTTATCGTTCGTCGTCTGTTCAGTCTAGACGTGTCTAAGCAATAAAACGAGCTTTAAATAGCAACACAGATTTAAAATTTGGAAACAAAAATGATGTGAAAGTTTTTGTATATTTGATACGCGATCTTTTATCGAAAAAACATTGCAAAATTTAAAGAAATAAAGCGCAGAAAAAGCTCAAAGTTCGTTAGAATAATGTGTTACAGTAGACCGTCGTTTATCCGAAAGTCGGTTATCCGAAAGAATTCCAGTCGGCAAATTTATATTTTCGCTAGTGCTATGGCGCTGCAATCTTTGGCTATATCTTGGGCTACTCCAATATTTTTTTTTGTTGATGTGTGTGTTTTAGCTGGCAGCTCTGGCACTTTTGTGTGATGTTTTTCTGAGGACTGTGTGTCATGCTGAATCGAACGTTTTTGATACTAGATTAACTTCTAAGTATAATTTTTTTTGTTTTTATATTTTTCAATATATTTATTTTGTTTGTGAAAAATAAAGAAATAATTTTTAACCATACAATAACCACGATTATTATTTTAAAAAGTTTACGTTAGGCTTAACATCGACGAAAATTCAACGCGAAGCGACACGCAACGGAGAAAAATCTCAACACGGGATAGGTTAATATATTTTTTCGTAATAATCAGTTATCCGAACAATCCCAGTCCCCAATTGATTCGGATAAACGACGCTCTACTGTAATGCCATTACTATTATCCAAATTTTATAAAAAAATAACAATTTAACGATATTTTAAAATCTTTAATATGAATTTATAGGTCAGAATTTATATTTTAGTGTAGATAAATAATATATCTCGTTTTACGACACACCATTTGAGACTGGCATTAAACTTCCTATTATGACTAAATGGAATGCCATACTCTTGGCCATTTTTTGGTGATACAATATATTTAAAGCTGTACAAACTGTACATTTTGAGAAAATGACATTATGGGAAAATTACTTGGCATAAATAGTGAGTTCATATCTTCATATAGACCAGTGATGGCGAACTCATGATCAGCGCGATTTCAAGGTCCGTTAAACGTTTAAAAAGTAGGCCTTATTAAGTTTTTTTTTTTTAAATATATAAATTATAAAAGAATATTTGATTATATATACAAAATTTTAACCTAAAGCTGTTGTGAGAAGTCTTAAAGGCTGCTAATAAGCCTTAGTTTAAAAAATTATCATCAATAAACTGCAACAGATTTTTCTAATTTTCTCCGTTATATTTTTAAAAATTCTTTGAAACAATAAATCTTACCTTTTTGACACCTTTAAGTTTGTTGTGCAATCGCCAATCCTGATTCATTCCAGTTCTTCTAAAGACCTCTGCTACGAATCTTGCCCTTTGGACTTTTCCAGGCACATTAAAATCTATCCCTCTTAATAAAATTTATTATGTAACTTTCTCAATTTTAAAATTAGTTTTATTCAGCATTGTTTTAGCATAGTGTGTTTAGTTAGCATAGTTTCTTTGTGTATTAACTGTCGTGCTCGTATTGAAGTTCGTATAGAAGTGTAGCAGTAAGCAATAACGATAAATGTTAGTGATAGAAGGAGAAAGCTAGAAATGAGACATCAAATTACTGCACAATCAAGAAATTTCACTCTAACCAGATGTCAACTAGGTCAGTCAATCAGCAGAATGCAGCTGGTCGACAAGATCAGTTCGAACGCCAAACGAAGGAAATTCTTGCAGCCTTGTAGAAATTCGTCCACCATTCCCGAAGAACCTTAACATATTCCAGCTGAAATGTTTAAAAGAGCAGTCTTTGCTGTTTTAGACCGTTTCGAGAAATGCAACAGAAATGACGGCCTTTATCTAAATTCCACTTATGCGCCAGCATAGGTGAAATTTAGGTATCGTAATGGTATTCTTACACAACTCTTTTACATTGTTTCGAAAATTCTATCTGTTGTAGTAATTTGTTAATAGCTCAAAAAGAAAAAAAATGTACATTAATATAATTTACCCCGAAAAAGTTTATTAAAAATAAAACATATTTCATCTTTAAACATAAACAAAGAACTGACTTAAGTTTCCAATAATAATATAAATTAAAAAAAAAAACTTGATTTCAAAGATAATCATCAAAATTTAGTATAAAAAATCAATTATACTTGAAATTTGATATGGTTTGAAACCCAGAAAATCCTCTCTTGCAAGATGAGATAAGCAATAACAGATCCAGAAATTTTTAGTGGGTTGCAGATGCACCCCTTTTACTTTCCCGGCTGTTACATATAACAGAGGAAAAGTATAGCGAGCAGTCAAAAAATCATCCCAAGATTTTTACATTTTTGGACTCAGGGGACCTTAAAAAGTCGAAAAAAAAAAAAAAAATCGGAGATAATTTCTATATGTATGGATGTTAATGTGTGTGGGTGAACATGATTCTGTTCATCCTGTTTGAAACTTAATAACTCCTGTGCTTTTTGTTGAAAATTTCTAAAATTTTGTAGAGGTAGTGTATTAGGGGAATTGATGCTATTAAATTTTGGTGGTTAAAGGCCGAAAGGACGGAGATATCAAGAGGGTCGTGTGTATCTCCAGTAGGATCAGATATAATGATTTTACTCATTATTACCATTTACATTTTTTTTAATAAAACCCATTCCTACCATGAAAATTAAGCGCTTTGCCATTTTATAATATTTAAAAATATAAAAAAGATTTTAAAATAAAATATCGTAACAGATGGCGCTCCGAAATGTTGCCGGAAAAGTTAAGCAACTCGTTGCCGGATTTTTTTGTTTCTCGACAGCACTCTTTTCTTTCCTTTTGTTCACTGCTACTGCTGTCAGTACTGTTGGACATAGATGTTTTAAAGTGCTTAAGATAAACATGAAGTAGAAACCCAGTGGAGAGTTGCTCGGTTATGTCCTCTTTCAATACATGTAGATTACGTGTAATTTGTTTTCCCACTGCAGTAGTACAGTACTGTACTAGTATCGTGATCTTTGTACCACTCACCCAATAGTAAAATGAGATACTATTGTAAGCATACGTATGTAAATCAAGTGATCACTCCTCTCTAGAAATTTTACAAATTGCACACGTGAAGAAAACCCAGAATATTCACGTGGTCAGCCCGTTGATCAGGTCCAAATTTACGACCAATGTTCTATCCACTCAGGCAAGGGTAGTGAAGGATGGGATTGGTATATCCGGGATAAAAAAAATTCCAGAATACCAATTGGAAAATCCCAAGATTCCTGACCCGGAATAGACTGGAATATAAAACACATTAATGTATATTCCTAGTCATAAATTTCAGATAATCGGTTTTATTTGCAATCTTGGATTTTTCATAGGGCCTTACAATTTTTTAAGACTCAGACACGAACAAACATATTTCGTCCAAATTCGATCTTGGTTCAATATTCTGAAGCCACGATTCTAGATTTCGTACAATATCTAATATTATATAATACATATTTTATAAACGTTATAAACTTACAGTGTGTAAAGTTTCATATTGATAAAGGGAGCCTTGCGTTACGCTTATCTCGGATTTCCCATATCATAAACTGCGATGGCTGATAAAATTATCCTCGTCTGAATCGCAATTAAAATCAAACAGGAAGTGACATTACAGTTTAGTTGTGATATAATTATATTACGTGCTTTATAAAGTTCAGTGTATAGAACTTTTATATTTACCGATTTATAAAATGATGCGCAGTATTTTAATTCTATAGAATAACATCGATGTTGGTATTTTACATTGCAGTAGCTACGGGGGCTCTAGGGGTGGCTAAGCTCTCTAAAAAAATATAATAGTCCACAGCTTAGTCAGCAGTGACTATATACAGTGATATATATTAATCCTTTCGCATACAAAGCTACTGTTATTCTTTCACACATGAACTGCAGTTTGTGGTGCTGGCTGTAAAAAAGAAAAATACCAGTCATTCGTCATAACTTTGTTCCCTTTGTGTCGTGTTTAAGTCTTAATTTTGGTATTATGAGTCCAAAATGTTTCTTGTATTATTAAGTAATACAAATAAAAGTAAAATTAATATAAAACAATTTTTATCAGAAAACTTAATAATAATAATCCATTCCAAGCTTGGACAAGCGAGAAATTAAAATAGTAAAGTTGAAGGTGTTCGTGTAGGCAGTTCTACTAATACCGGGGTTATTTATAGGTTTATATAAATTTTCTCAACTTGCCCCACATTTATTAATATAACCCCATGGCTACGGAACTCATATTTTACGGACATTCATATGGCAGATCCTTATATCTAATCAGTTTTTAACATGGACGTGAGAACAAAGATGTAGCATTGTTTCTGCTAAGCTCGTGTATAATATTTCGAAAGTCATTTCTCCCGAATGAGTAATCATTAATGTGATCTATGCTGGCTTTTTGCCTATTGAAATACTTTAAGGTCTCCTTCAATAGACACATCCATCAAATTGTGGGATAATCAGATGCGTGCTCCAAGTTGGCCTTTAATCAAGACACGCGATAAAATTACGAAAAAAAATATTGTAGTAAGGTCGATGTATCTTAAAACTAAAAAATATGGTGTAGTGGATGTTACAAGAGGTTGCTCATCATTAATATTTTCCCACGTATTGCCTACCTTACATATTTTACGTATCTTCAATTATTTTCTTAAAAAAGAGGTAAAAATATTTAAAATTTAATAGATAATTTATTTAAAACATAAAACAAAACAACAGAGAATTTAAGAAGTTAAGTGTTTTATTATGTGCCAATAAATTACAAGTACAATATCAATCAATATAATTACACTTTATCTCTATAAATTAATTTTGTTATGTACCGTACAATAATAACAAGATAAATTTATACGATATAATAAGTACAGTAACACGATTACTCATTAGATAATAAACAATAGAAATATGTCAAAAATAGAACAATGTCGACTGACTTAAACATACCCTTTAAGGGATAGGCTAATTTCCAATTTTTATCAAGTACAGTCGACATTCCTATAACACTGTTGATAATTCCCCCTATAACACTGTTGATAATTCCGTTTTATATGAATTCCATGTTGTACGAGTCACTTAAATTTTACAAATACGTGAGCCGTTCACAGCCCAGCACACGTATTTGTAAAATTTAAGTGACTTGTACAACATGGAATTCATATAAAACGGAATTATCAACAGTGTTATGGAGGTCGATTGTATTTCCAGCATTTCACGATTCCAAGTCAATATCCATGCGAATTATTCGACGACCATTCGCAAAATTGCTTTCATTCACTTCCCAAGTAATGTGTGGTAGAAGAAAGTCCGAACACAGTGCCAAATCCATGATTCTGTTACCGAATTTTTCATCAGAGGTTGGAATAAACTTGTTGAGTAACTGAAAATCAGATATGCGTAAAAATTTTTCCACGTTTTCACCAATAGAATTTGTGAAACAATCGCCCCAATTCTTGGAGAATGCGCTGAAGTCTCCTAAGACTATACAATTTTTACTTAAAATTGGCGGTAATCGAGTTATATCAAAGTTCTCATTCAAACTGTATGGATTGTAAATATTAGCGATAGTCAATTCGTATTCCTTTAATTGTAATTTTAAAATCTGATAATTTGTAATTTTATCACGAAATGAATTAGGACACTCGAGTTCTTCGGCATTACGACATACATTTTTACTGAGCAGAGCCATGACGTTTTCACCGGGGTTTCGGAACACGAAGTAACCAGGATAATCGAATTTATTGAAATGAGTACCTTGAAGAAGAAAGATATCCAAATCTTCCTGATTCATGTATCTTACAAATTCAATTTCTTTGTCTTTTAACCCGCAACAATTCCAAAGTGCTATTTTCAAATTCTTTTCTTCATTAAAGTGCTCCTTAAAGGGCAAACAACACTGTTTGATTCTAAAGAAATAGTCTATAAAATTCCAAAAGCAAATCGTGAATTCTGCATATTCGTATGGAAATTGCAAAGCGTGTTTAAATTGGTGCATAGATTGATCTATAGAGTTGAAGGATATAAAATTATCAATGGCAGAAGAAAAGTTAAAAACAAACAGTTCTTTCTTTTCATAAATGGAGTATTTATTCATTTCCACAAAATTATCCACAAAACTTTCATGAATTAATTTGAAGTCTTCGTATTCTTTCACGAATTGTCCGAGTAGAGCGTTAAGTATATTACAATCAAGAACAGTGTATTTGTTTTCTGTTAAGTGTTTGAATTCTTTTTCCATCCAAACGAATAATTTAAGCAAGGCATCTTCGATATTATTCATGATTAGAATGTTATCTTTCAGTTTCTCGTAGAACTTTTTGCTCTCTTCTAAATCCGATTTCTCATAGTCTTTTCTATCTATCACTTCCAATTGTTTATAGTCTTCCATAAAATCCTCTACTTCTATCTATCACTTCCAATTGTTTATAGTCTTCCATAAAATCCTCTACTTCTTCTTTTCTATCTATCACTTCCAATTGTTTATAGTCTTCCATAAAATCCTCTACTTCTAACTTCTCACATTCCCTTCTATTTTTTACTTCTGACTGCTCATAGTCTTCTATGGAACATTCCATTTCCGATTTCTGAAAGCATTCGAAATATTTAACGTTCGAATAATTTGATTCCAACATTTTTAAGTTTCGTTCTGATATAAAGAATCGTTATTTTGAGTATACTAAAATATTCTAGAGAAAACTTATTTTACTGGCCGTTACTCCTTCGGTGGGGGTTGAGCCTAGGGCCAACAACCATACCTCGGGAAATAACGGTGTTATGAAACCGAGACAATCACAATCGAAAAATAGGACTGTTCAAACGGCAGCGAAGACAAGGAAATAGAAACGCGGAATAAAACGTGGGACGTGGAATGTACGAAGTCTATGTACTACGGGAACATAAAGAAACACAATTGAATAACTCCAGAAATACAACATAGATATTGCACTATTTTAAGAAACGAGATGGACACAAGAGGGAAATCTCATATCTGGGCAGCACACAATATTATATGGAGGAAGCAATAAACACGAGTTTGGCACAAGGTTTGCCATCAAGAATGAATTCATTCCGGCATCCGGTTCAACTTAAGCATAATTAATATCCATGCACCGACAGAAGACAAGACAGATGAAAATAAGGATGAATTCTGTACTCTAGAAGATCTTGTACACGACAATGGTAATTGGGGATTGTAATGCAAAAATAGGAAAAGAAAGTTCGGAAACCTACAATTGGCAGACAATTTACATGCCGAGACCGATGATAATGGAATGCGATTAGTCCTTTGCAAATCCAAGAACATGATTGTTAAGAGCACTATGTTGCTTCATAAATCAATTCACAAATAAACACGGGTTTCGTCTGATGAATTTACAAGAAATTAGCTGGATCATACACTTTTTGACTATAGACGGCATTCATCCATACTAGATGTTAGATCATACCGAGGTGCAGATAACGGATCAGATCACTTCATAGGATAGGAAGTGATCTGATCCGTTGAGAAGCGAATAACAAGTAAAAGAAACAAAAAAAAAAAAAATCCCCATAATCTAAAAATATGTACAGAAGAGCTAAGGGAGAAGAGAAAAGGGGGCATACAAACAGACACTGAAAACTAAACTACAAGCTATATCAACAAAAGATATTCCCAACAACGTTAACGACCAATGGCGGATGTTGTCACAAAAAAATAGTACAATAATGAATTTAGAGAAAAAGTAAAGGAGAGGACAAAATATGAAGCTCAACCGGCACACTAACCAATAGATGAAAGGTATAAACTGTACAATAATAGTTACAAGGAAGCTAAAAATATATTCGCAAGGTCAATAGACAATACATAGAAGAACAAATCCAAAGTATAGAAACTACTTATAGAGAAAAGAATATTGGAGAGTTGTACAAAAGAACTGGCACCTTTAGACAAGAATACAAGTCTAAATACATGTTTGTACGAGATGAGAACAACAAGATAACAGAAGAGGACAAGATCCTGAACAGATGGCGCGAATACTTCAAAGATCTGTAGAGTGTCATAAAAGAAAGCTAAGACACGCAAAGGGCACAGGAAACAGATACTTTAAACACGCCAGTAGAACCATCGATCAATGAAATAAAGCTTAGTAGAGCCCGACTGAAGAACTACAAAGCGCCAGGAGGTGGTGGTATACCTGCCGAGTTGCTCAAATCGAGAGGTAAATGTCTCCATAAGGAAATCCGCAAAATCTTACTAAATATTTGGAATAACGAGGAGCTTCCAGGCAAATGGAAAGAAAGTATCATTTGCCTTATCCATAAAAAAGAAGCAAAGAGTTATGTAATAACTACAAGGAAATATCATTACGAATACAACATACAAAGTACTGTTGATGCTTCTCCTCAAACAGCTAACATTTTATATAGAGAATATCTCAGGGGACTATCAATGTGGGTTTAGAGAGAATCGTTCAACCATTGATCAGATATTTACCCTATGATACTTGCTGAAAAAAGTATGAGTGCAAACAGGATGTACACCAACTTTACATAGATTTCAATAAAGCATATGACTGCGTCAATCGCGAAGAACAGTGACAAATAATGGCTGAATTTGAAATACCCAAGAAATTAATAAAAATGACAAGTGTATAGAAAAACCAATCAGCAGAGTCAGGATTGGAAACAAACTGACAGAACCCTTCGAGATGGCTACAGGACTTAGGCAAGGAGACGCTCTCTGCCCACGTTGTTTAATTAATCTAACACTTGAAAAAATTATTGCAGTAAAGTGCCAAAGGAGTAGAATTGAACGGCCTCCATCAAACATTGATATATGCGGATGACGTTTGCCTGATAACGAGACTCACGGAGACCTAATCGAAAATACATCACTATTACTCTCAGAAGCAGAGAGGGTGGGCCTGAAAGAAATGAATCAAAAACAAAGTTACACAAGCTACTATCAAGAGGACATCATAGTAAGGGAGCTAACAACCTTCTGGTAGAGAAGTACACATTCGAGACCGTAGTGGACAATAACAACTCCATCACAACAGAAATTTACTCAAGGCTCCATAAATATAACGCATCATACTAAAGCTTGCAAAAAGTGTTACAATCTAAACAAGTTTCCAGAAAGGTAAAGTTAAGATCGTATGAAACCATTATCCAACTAGTGCTGCTCTACGGCTGTGAAACATGGCCGTACATAGTCGTACAAACACAACTTGCGAGTGTTTGAAAACAGAGACCTCGGGAAGATCTTTGGATCCGTGCGGGAGAGTAGAACTGGTACTCGGAGAAAGATGAATAACGAGGAAATGCATAGCAAAGTTGACGACTACGATATCATACAAACTATAGCCGAGAGACACCCCATATAGGCGGGATATGTAGCCGGCACTGACACAATCGACATGTACACAAGTGCTGACTGGGGAGCCTTAGGGTAAACGACCTATTGGACATACTTCAGTGCTATAGAAAGATGAACTGGAGAGGGATCTACAAAGAGTGGATGTACTGCTTAGGTTAATGCAAGAGGCACAAGACGGAAAAATGGAAGGAAATTGTCGAGGCTGTTAAGGGCCCAAAAGGATCAAATAACCATTGAATAATGAAAGCATTTAAAGCTATTTTCTACTTCTGGTTTCTCAATCTTTTCTATTTAGCACTTCTCACAATTCACAATCTACGTCAGAGCCGTCCCTAGGGCCGGGCAACTGGGCCAACCGCCCCGGGCCCCGCGCTTAAGAGAATGCAGCATAATAATGTTTTATAATTAAAATGTAACAACTTGTATTTCAACGTAAAACTTAATTTTAAAGTATAATTGTAAGGTACACTGGAAAAATCTCATAAAACTTGATTTCTTGATACAACTTTGCTACTAATTGATTTTATGATCTACAAAAAGAATAGCTGTTTTAATGTATAAATTAAAATATACTTGTGTTTATTAGTGTTCTATTAGTAGGTTTTTTTTACCTTAAAAATAATCAAAATAATAATAAAGAAAAAACTAGTTTTTATAATATAAATTGTAAGTTGGCCGTATATAACCTACCAACAAAACTAGGCGCCAAGTCAGGTTGGTGCAGTTAGCATAGCATAGAACATTTATACACTTGAGCATATTGTAAGCTAATAAATGTTTTAATTGAAGAATTTATGCTGCTTAATGGTACTGTACTTTTTTAATTTAATAAGGTGTTTTAATTTAACTTCGTTCAGCACTCCGTTACTGTAAAACAGCAGAGAAAAACGTTGTTATAGCGATAATAACTTTAGAAAGTCGTCAAACAGATAGCCTTTTAAAATACTTTAAAACTGAACGATCTGGCTATAGCTAGCATTAGTGTATAAAATAAAGAATTACATACAAAGAATTACCTTCATTATTGAGTGAAGATGGAGCTATAAATGATGAAGAAGGTCAAGAAGATTTTTTTTCTTAGCGTAAACGAGGAAATTAAAGAATTATTAACCATACTGGAAAATGATCCTGAAACATGGCCATCATACCCTTCTGAGAAGACCAGATTATTATTAATTAATAAAACATTGTTCAAGTAACAAATTACGATTTTCCCATAGATAAAGTAGGTAGAAAATTTAAGGTATCTTATTATACAAAAGTACATTTAAATGGAAAAAAAATATATTGCAGAAACTGGCTTCTCTATTCAAAACTAAAAGATGTGGTATTTTGTTTTTACTGTTATTTATGTCCTAACCAATTGTCAAGATCATCTTTAGCATTAATAAATGAAGGTGTTTCTAACTGGAAGCGCCTTGGAAGTCGCTTAAATGAATATGAATTATCGTTGCCACACAGAAAATCACTTAAAGATTTTATGGAGCTAAAAAACAGGTTGCAAAACGAGCAAACAATTGACGATTTTCATCAAAGACAATTAACAATTAAATTCAGATGCGTGAAGTTCTTAAAAAAATTATGATAAATGCAATTTATCATATGCTAAAAACAACGATGCAGTTCCTGGAACGAATCAGACAATTTTTACAAAAAATAACGATAAATTTTTAGGTTAAATTGGAATTAATTTCAAAATTCGATGCAAGAATGGCAGAACATATAAGACGTATCAAAGATAAAGAAATTATCATTATTTAGGTCGAAAAATTCAAAATGAGATAATTAATCAAAGTTAAAAATGAAATAATAATAAAATATTAAAAAAAGTAAATATTATGCAATACAGTTAGACTGTACTACCGATAAAAGTCGTATTGAACAACTGACTCTCATTGTTCGAATTGTAGAAATGCCTGACGAACAAAAACGAAATGAAGTTGAAATTAATGATTATTTTATTGGTTTATCTCCTATGCCGAAAAGTACAGAGTTTGATTTATCAGAGGAATTATGTAAACAACTTAAAACTTTAAATATTTCTTTGAACGATTGCCGTGGACAAGCCTATGACAATGGGAGACAAACATGGTAGGCAAGGGAAAAGGCGTGCGAGCAAGGATTTTGGAAAAAAATCCGACAGCATTTTTTGTGTCGTGTTCTGCGCACAAGTTAAATTTATTAATAAGTGATACGGCTTCCTCTGTTCCTATGGCTATGACATTTTTTGGAACATTTTCGAGACTGTATACACTATTTTCCACGTCTGCTCACAGGTGGGCTATTTTAACGAAACATTTTAACAAATTGAACTTTAAAACCGTTATCAGATACACGTTGGGAATGCCGAATAAATTCTATGAAGACAGATTTGATTTAGACAAAATTATAACAGCATTAGAAGAATTAAATGACGTGACAGAGGATTCTAGTGTAAAAAGTGAAACAGATTCCTTGAGAAATATGCACGACTCTTCCAAATCTGGCCATTAGTTTAAGATTATTATTAACAATTCCGATTTCAACAACAGAACGAAGTTTTTCTAAATTAAAACTAATTAAAAATTGTTTACGGACAACAATGTCACAGGAACGATTAACAAATCTGACACTTTTATCTATTGAGCACGAAATATGTTAAAAATTAAATTGCGATGATTTAATAAAAGATTTTGCTGAAATAAAAGCCCGCAAAATTAACATTTCATAAAATAGTTCGAAAGGTTCATTAAAAAAAATTAAGATAAAAATAAATAAAAATAAACATACTTCGTACAATCTTAAAAAAAATTTTTTTTTATACTTTTTGTTTTATATTTTCGCAATTTTGTTTAAATAAATTTTTGAAAAGTTAACGTTAATTATTTTACTTAATAGTTTTTTTTTATACTAATACTTAGTTTATTTTTAGAAGGGGCCCCGCAATAGCTAGGGGCGGCCCTGATCTACGTCATCCTCTATTTCAGATTCTGTATAGTTCGTAATGCAAGTTATTACCTTCGAGTATTCACAGGCTTTAATAGTATTCTCTACTTCCGCTTTCTCATAATCTTTAACGCTGTCTGATTTCTCACGAATTTCTCTTGTATCTTCTACTTTCAATATTTCATTATTCTCGCTGCACTCCTTTCTTTCTACCTTCACGAAGTCTTCAATGCTGTCTTCCGCTTCCACTTCGTCATAGTTTTCGTTGCTATCTTCTACATTTAGTATTTCAAAATCTTCTGTGTTATTTTCTACACAAGCCATATCTCTTTTCTATTCACAACTACAGTAACACCATTTCGAAATTGTAAACGCGTCAGGTTTCATCGGTTATTCGCATAAAACATAAAATCCAAAACTGCAAGCGTTTAAATATCCCTCATTCCGAAACCGAAACTATTTACACTTCGTCATGCGCATAAAACATAAAATCCAAAACTGCAAGCGTTTAAATATCCCTCATTCCGAAACCGAAACTATTTACACTTCGTCATGCGCATAAAACATAAAATCCAAAACTGCAAGTGTTTAAATATCCCTCATTCCGAAACCGAAACTATTTACACTTCGTCATGCGCATAAAACATCAAATCCAAAACTGCAAGTGTTTAAATCAGGGGTCGCCAAAGTGGTCGATATCGACCCCCAGGGGTCGATGCAACATCATTGGGGGGTCTATGCGGCTAGGGGGTTCGATGAGGCTAAGGGGTCACAACCTTCTTTTTTTTTTCGCTCATACACATACACTTGTAATAAAACTTTACGGTGGGGGTCAATGTGAGGCTTTGGAAAGTGGTTGGGGGTCGACGGTTAAAAAAGTTTGGCGACCCCTGGTTTAAATATTCCTCATTCCGAAACCGAAACTATTTACACTTCGTTATGCAATCAGTTATTTCCCATTTTTTCTTATGAGTCACCGAATAACTATCATTCGCACAAAATTTAATCTTTTGCGTTTAATTATTAGTTTAATGCTATTTATAATATCATCCTCCTTAGTAAACTATAAAAATATAATTTGACCGTATGTAAACACCGGAAACTATTTTAATCACGTGAGCAATAGAACGCAGCGATAGTCACCTGACTAGAAGCTTTCGATCAATGAGGCTGGGACTCAGGATAAGCTCAAATATAGGAATAGGGGTGTGCAGATTTAAGGGACCCCGTGCAGAGGGAAAAATGTCTCTTTCATATATTCTGAGACAAGAGAAAAACTAAATAGAACGAGCAATTATTTATTGTGACATCATCACAATGCCAAGCTGCAATTTTTAATCATATTTTTAATTTATTTAAATGAAAATAGATGATCTCTACCTCAAATTTAGTGTCTTGTCCCTGTACATTATACTTTTCCTGTTAGCAACAGAGTCATGCTGGTCATCTATCTAACTCCTTTCAGGGGAATATTTTTGAACTGAAATAACAACTTTCAGTGCAAACCGAAAATTCGTATATAGTTAATTGGGGCCTTCTACCCCCAACCTTTCTGCATCTGATCTCGATTAAAATCTATCTAACTCCGTTCTTGAGATTAAGGAAGGACAGACAACAGCTGGGCGACAGTACAATTTTTTCAAATTGCAGCCCAACAAATTTTAAATAATGTATGTTATGTGTATTGTTTCTTTCTGATCTCCAGATTACTGTGTATGAATTCTTAAACTCAACATATTGTTTAAAGTGCATTAATCAGAAATAAGTTTAATTTGTAATGTTTAAGAACATTTTGTTTAGATTCTACCAATTGGTGATGTTCCAATAAAATAATACTTTAGGCCTACTTACACTCGACAAATTAAAATCATCATCATTTACTAAAAAGCAAGACAATTATACCCAGTATGCAGCAATTTTATATGTAACATACAATACATATTTGGTCAATAATACAATAAAACCTCAATAAATGGATAATTATTATTGAAATATTTTAAAGAACTGTTCTAAGAAAAGCTTGTTGTAGTTTTCTCTTGCTTTCGAAATGTCTGAAATTGTCTGTTTACTCATAGAAATTTTTTCATCATCTCCAGCTTGAGATTTTCCATCTTTAAAAAGAATGGATTGAAGGATTTATGTGAGGATCATGTCTAAATGTTGACTATTATGAGTTAATTTGTTTCACAATAGAATCAATCAGCATAGATATGGTCTGATAAAATTGTACAGCAGAGATATGGTCAATAACATGGTAGATGTTAATGACTATAAATAATTTTATTATATGGGTTTTCTTTATTTTTAATACTGACAAAAGAAAGTTAAATAATTTTAACAACTGCTGATTTTAATTTGAATAGATAATACTTGTGTTCTAACTTTTCAATCTTTCAGTTTGTTTTCTTGGTGTCTGCTTGTAATGAATATATAGCAGAATTAATATTAAAGTGCGAAGCAAAGATAATCGCTTAGCAGATGAATTAGAAATGAATTTTGAACCAATTATCCTTTCAGTCTAATTTACATAAATAAAAGTGTATGTATTTTTTAAGATATAAACAAATAATTTCCATTGTTCACTTACAAATAGCTAAGTTAGGTTATTTTGATGAGCAACATTAAATATTTCTTTAAGATGTTACTTTTTAGAATGACTTTTTTACTTTAGTAACAAATAATCATTACATAGTAACCTACAAGTTGTTCCTGACAAATTTTTATTTATATATAACATAACATAAAAGTAAGTTTTTTTTTAATATTAATAATTTTATATTATTGAAAAAATTTTTACCCCAAGGAAAGCCTTCATTTTATGATGAGTCATCACCAGACTGGGTGCCAACATTATAATGGGGTATGAGAGTGGCCACAAGCCAAATGCATATCAGGAGTGTTATGAAAGAGCATATAATCAGGAGAAATCCAGTCATTTGTAAGATAGTTATGGGCCTCTAAAGATTTGTAAGCTTTTATTTGTGAGAGTATAGTAATTATTTGTCAAAACCAAATAGTTTATGATGATACCAAATTCTACTTTAGGCCATAGCTTGATCTACAACAAATATGCTGGCTTTGTATGGATTGACACCTCAACATAATGAAACTTTCTCTTCATATAAAGCAGCAACTCATCCAGTCAGACTGCGAGAATACCTGCCAGAAAACATCTTTTTTAACTTTGTCCATGATATAAGAATACTGCAATCCTATTAAGTTTAAATTGAAAAAAAAAAAAAGCACTGCCAACCTGTCAAATAACAAACCATGTGCAAGCTAAGCAAACACAAGCTAGACCACAAACATGGTGAGGGGAGGAGCAAACGTGCGTTTTACCATGTGACATGCAACTTTGAAACCTCTCTATACATAAATTTGCAGGCTTTACGTGATTGCAAAGATAAAACTCCAATAGAGAGGGATTAAAGTTCTTTGTCAGCTGCATTGCATAAAAATTACAAATTATTTATTTTATTATATGGTTCCAGACATACAGTATGATATATCTGTAAGTATTGTTTCTACCAGTACACTCTTTTCAAGATATTTTGGGCAGTGGCGTACCGTGGGTGTCAGCCGCCCGGGGCGGAGGAAAATTTCGGCTCCCCCTTACATAGGTATTTCAATTTAAAGGACCAAAATTCATTTTTGTCACAGAACAAGCAATGAAAAATTTGGTGGTAGTGCAGCGACCTGTTTAAAATAGTTCTATTGGATATTAGTGGTGTATATGAACGCGAATGAATCATACAAAAAGAAAAAAAAGGGTCAACAGGTTTCGCAGGATTTCCTCGGACCAAAAAGTTACTAATTCACCCAGCGAGCCGATTCCCGGACTGTCTGGACGATAGCACTATCGTAGGCGTGATGCAAGTATAGATTAGGATGTTTCAAATTTTTACAAGACATTATTATTATTTATCGTGAAATTTTGCTGCCCCCTAAAAAGTGCTGCCCGGGGCGGGCCGCCCCCACTACAGTACGCCACTGATTTTGGGTCAGAATCATGTACAACCAAATAGGATCCTAGGGGAGGGCAAATAGTGGCATTTACCTTCCCCTAGGATCGAGTAAAAATTTCCACAAATTATAACTGTAAAAGTGATTGAGATATGCCTTTGATCATTGGACACTTTGGTTAAATAGTTTTATGTTAAAAATTAATTATTATAAATGTGTCATTTACTTTTTTATTAAAAACAATTTGATACATTAACATTAGCATTTGATCTTCATCTCAAAATACAATTAAAAAATTGTTTTTAATAATTTCACTTTAAGTGCTATAATTTTATTCAGTAAAATCAATTAAAATAAAAATTCTAAAATATTAATAGACTATAATAGAATTATTTGGCTAATTAGTTAACTACATAACTTATTCTAAAAAGTAGGTGGTTAAGTTTTTTAGAACATTTTGGAGATTAAGATGAGCCATGCAGAAAATGATTCTGTTGAGTTCAACTTTTAAACGGAATTTATTTCAATAATTTGAATTAAACTTTAATTTTTTTATTTAATTTAGTAAATGATGACTTATAGTTATTTGCCTATCAAATTAATTTAAAAGGAATCATACAAGATAGGGTAAATGGTAGACTTATTGGTCACTTACGAAAATTTTTATTTTAAAAGTTCTATGACATAACAGAAAGATTAAATTGGGAAATATTAATAATATATTTACTGACGAATTTGTTTTTTTTTATAGACTTTTTACTGCCAACATCTAGAAATTAAAAATACCAATTATATAATCCAAAATGTACCTTGTTTTGCAAAATGCTAAATTGTATGCTGTGGCTAATATGCAATTGTTTTGCAATATGCTTGTGGCTAATAACAAAAATTTCCACAAGAAAACCTGTGAGAATTTTCGCTACCTACTGATAGCATTGTATTAATACTGCCATGCAATATTTCTAGAGTAGCTTTTATAGAACTCTTATTAAAGAGATTTGAATTTGAAATGGCCAATAATTGTACTACTTACCTTACTTTTGTTACTTATTTTATAAAATATCTTCCATATGGTTTTGTGTACAATAATGCCATAGACAAGATCTTAAACAAAATAATATATTGGATGCTTCATTATAACTATAACAGAAATCATCACTTTATAAATGATTTGTTCATTATCTGTGATTTATTATTTGTTAAACAAAAAACAAATTGAAAATTACATGAATTGAAAGGCTTATGCAATTATCAAATTGTGGAGTTAATTTAGAAAAAAATTACCTTTTCTTTTTTGATAAAGTCAATAAGTTTGATGTGTGAAATCCAATAGTGATCTTAATATTAATTATTTACATAAAATTTAAAAAAAGTACAAGGTGTCTGAAAAGTGACAGGGCAGTGAAAAAAGTTTTAAGTAAAGTTTTACATATGATATTGCAATTTCTCCTACAATAAATACTGTAAATGTTCCCCAGGAGATTATGTAATTGGCAAAGAATTCTTCCAAAAACCAGATCATCTATCTGTGAGCAAGCAGTAATGCCATATATCACAAAATGGAAATGCTGGACATACAACTTGT